AAACCCTAAGTTTTAAAATTTCAAGTTGAATGTGACATTGGCTTTTAGATTTATTGAGTTTATTCTTTGAAAAAATCCCAATGCCCTTTAAATCTCATTTATTTATACCTTCATAAAAATATTTAATTATTTTGGTCTAAAAATATAAATGTATACAAAAATTAACATGATGTAATCTTTAAATATACAAAAATATAATTAATTATCAATTTTTCAACTTAAAATGAAATCGGTCCTTTAAAAACAATAATTTAGTGTAATTTATTTCTAAACTATTTAAAGATAGTGTAATAATTCAGTTAAATTTTATAACCGGACGTGGTTATCACATAACATTTACTCATAAAAAGAGGAATAAATAGTAGCTCTTGTTATTTAACAAATAAATTGAAGACAAAATCATATTATTTATTTTATATAAATAAATATAAATAATATAATACTGCATGAATAAGAAAGCATGTAAGAAGTAGTGTTTAGTTAATATTTTCTTTTAAAACAAAAATAAGAAAATCCAATAACAGAGAGTGTGCGGTGTTCTTCCTTACAGTGGTATCGGAGAGGAGGCAGAGCAGAGGAACGATGGCGGCGGCGGCGGCGTCGCAGGGGTACCGCCAACCTTCGACAATCGAGGAAGTGAGAACCCTATGGATTGGGGATTTGCAGTATTGGGTGGACGAGGCGTACCTCAGCCACTGTTTCGCCCACACCGGCGAGGTTCTTTCCATCAAGATCATCCGCAACAAGATGACGGGCCAACCCGAGGGTTACGGTTTCATCGAGTTTGTTTCCCACGCGGCAGCGGAGCGCGTACTCCAGACCTACAACGGCATGCAAATGCCCGGCACCGAACAGACCTTCAGGCTCAATTGGGCCTCTTTCGGCATCGGTGAGCGCAGGCCCGATGCGGGCCCAGAATACTCCATCTTCGTGGGCGATCTTGCGCCCGACGTAACCGACTATCTTCTCCAAGAAACCTTCCGGGCCCACTACCACTCCATTCGCGGCGCCAAGGTCGTCACGGATCCCAACACGGGCCGCTCCAAGGGCTACGGCTTCGTCAAATTCTCCGACGAGAACGAACGCAACCGCGCCATGACCGAGATGAACGGGGTTTATTGCTCCACTAGAGCCATGCGCATTAGTGCCGCCACGCCCAAGAAAAGCACCAGTAGTTACGCCGCCGAGCCTGCGCCTTTCACCAAACCTGTGTTCCAGGCTCCGGCTTACACTGCGCCGGTTCAAGTTCAACCTCCGGAGTATGATGTTAATAACACTACCGTGAGTTAGTTGTGCAAAAGATGGACCAAATAATAAAACATATCCACATATACGTGTTTATATTATATTTATGTGTGTGATTTTCTTTGTCAGGGCAATGTTTCACTGACATGATTTCTTTTGCAGATTTTTGTTGGTAATTTGGATCCTAATGTGTCTGAGGAGGAATTGAAGCAAAACTTTCTGCAATTTGGAGAAATTGTCTCTGTTAAAATTCCGCCGGGCAAGGGATGTGGCTTTGTTCAATTTAGAACTAGGTTTTCTTCTATTTCCCTAGTCTTTTTAAACATGTTTTAGTTTGAAACAAATAATTGTCATGTTTTTCATATAGTGATTGTATTTTATTGTATTACACACTGTTAGTTGTGTTTACCCTTCCCATATCTTGTTTCTGCTGCAGAGCATCAGCTGAAGAAGTTATTCAGAGAACGCAGGGAATGATGATAGGCCAACAAGTGGTCAGGATTTCTTGGGGTAGGACCCTAGCAGCTAGACAGGTGATTTTTCTTTTAGAAATGCCCCCTTTCTAGATGAAAATATTTTTTTTTGTATTTAAAGGTTTTCATGCTGTAGCCTGGTCCATTTGTGATACATTAAGCATTACAATGTGTATAGTCTTTCAAAATATCTAGGTTGTTAATATGGAACCCCTGCATGGTTTTAGATTCTCCTGAACATCTGTTAGATTGTGAAGATGATGGTGATGTGTGAATGCCTGATGAGATGGATTTTGAGAGCTTTTAAATGGACTGGTAGAAAAGAATGAAATAAAAATCATATTGTATTAAATCATGTGCGGATATTGTTACTATAGGGTTGGTTAAAACTGCAAACTGTCATGTAGATCTTATTTGGGAGAGTATTTATGTATTTGGACAAACTAATGTTTCATCAAATGTGTTTGGCGATTGTTTATGTTTGTTATTAAGGTATTAGATCTTTCTATATTAGCTTTTACCTGAACATTTACTCCTCTTATGTTGTAAATCTGAATCATCATCCTTGAATGAAAACATTTTTAGGAGTTATAAATGAAGGATGATAGCATCAAGAGTTGTATTGTTAAATGAGATTACTTTTTTGGAGTTATTCTCACTCTCTTTTGAGTAACAAGGCTTATCCTTGTTTGTATGTATTAACATTTAAATATTTTTTGTTTCCTTCTTATATATTTCTTAATTTTAATATTGAATTTGATTTGATATTTTAATTAGTCCAAAATAATTTTCTTCTTAATCATTCCAAGTCACTCTTTTTTTTAAAAAAAAAAATCTAAATTGAATTCAATATTTTAAAATATATTATCAGCAAATAAAAAAGCCTTTGTCTCATACTGAAATACAATTTCTATTTAAAAATATGTAATTATTACAAGTTTTAACTATAATATAATTTATAATAAATTGTTGTAGGACTTATCTGGTGGGTGGGGACAACAGATGGATCCAAGTCAATGGAATACTTACTATGGATATGGGCAGGGTTATGAAACATATGGTTATGGGGCTGCTCAAGACCCTTTATTGTATACATATGGTGGCTATCAACAGGATCCCGTAATCCATTTAATTTTAAATTTAGTTTACTTTGCATAATGCATTGATTCCTGTGCTGAGAACTATTTTATTGACTGTTTATTTTTAGGTTGGAGGTGTTCAAGACCCAACTGGTATGCCTGCACCTACCATGGAACCAAGGGAGGAATTGTATGATCCCTCGACAATGTCTGATGTTGACAAGTAATTAATTATTCCTCCTTTATTGTAAAAGTTGGAGTTTAGATTCTCTGATGGAATTTGTGTTATTATCTACCTTGTTTTCAAAATACATTGATATTTAAAAAAAATTAATATATTTTAAAACCTTAAAATCAGCATTCAGCAGTATTTTGAAGACATAACAGATGAATATCACAGAAAAATCCAACACAGAATCTAAATCTAAATTGGTAGAATTTGGGACACAAAATACTTTTCCTGTACACATCACCACCATCTTTGCTTCTTGAATGTTTCTGACAGATCTTTGATTGTGTTGGGCAGGTTAAATGATGCATACCTCAGAGTACATGGAAATTCCATTTTAGGGCGATCGCTATGGCAAAAAACTTCTTCATCATCCTTACCAAAAACTTAAAAGATATATTTCTAGGGCCTGCTCAATGTGCATTATATGTCAAAATACTCTGCAACTGCACCCACAAATTGAATCGGCATAGGTTTAACTCTTGTCAATACATACTGAGTTCATAGGTTTAACTCTTGTCAATACGTACTGAATTTATTCCAAATGCGTTTCTCCTTAATCAGCCTTGTGTAAAGAATGAAATTTAGAATAGTCAGACAAGTAGCATTCCATTAAATAATTAGTAAGTATTATAGAATGAAAATCATTTTTTTCTATCATGGGTTTGAAAAAATTGTATTATTTTCATCTTTTAAAAAGTTGTAGATAAGATCTTTTAAAAGTTTAAATATTTTTCATTGGTAGAAGGAAAGCATACGGGAATGACGTTCTGTTAATTATATATTTAATTGAAAATTTTATTTGTTAAAACTGGTTTTTTGTTATTTTTATTAATAACTTTAAAAATGTATTTGTTTAGAGAGAAATAAAAACAATAACAGTAAGAACAATATGAAAATAAAAATAAAGAAATTAGTATATTTGATACTTAGGAGGTATGAGAAATGCACTGTTCAATTGTGTTCGTCGCAACTGTTTTGAATGATAGATTTCAAATTTTTAATCCATTTCTTACAATTTAGAATGTTTTAAAAATCTAATTTCAAAAGGGCTCTTTCTGAAAGATTATATATATTTTAGAAAGCTCATTTTAAAAATTCTGTTCTGAAAATTCTAAAAAATATATTTTGAAAAAAGTTTAAATCAAATAATTCAAAAGTCATCTTTGCAAAACATAAAATGGTTATTTTAAAAAATATAGCCGTAGTTCAGACAAAGAAAAAGTCATCTGAAACACATATCATCTAGAATCTGACCCAATCCCCAAGAATTATTTTTTATTACAGTAACAGACATAAAACAGAAATTGAACACGAAATAACAAACAATAGAAACCTAATAAAAACAAAGAACAAAAATAAATGAAACATCTACTAGCAGTGTCTCCCTCTTTTCGTAATTACATGTTCGATTGTTAAGATAGATCGAATTACTAAAACTTAGGTGGGTATTAGGGCAAGAAAACAAAATAAATGATAAATATAAAGATTAGCAATATAATTTTACGAGTAATTTGCTTCGATGATTTACTAAAAAATTGAATGATTTTTAATAATTCTACTTGGGGGATTTACTAAAAAATTGAACACTTACTGATTATTCTACTTGTTTTGATTATATCATGATCTAATCATATTCCTGCTAATACAGACATGTTAGAAACATCAAATAGTATTATCAAATAGTATTTACTTGTTGATTTTCATGAAATAAAAATAGAATGATTTGTCAACCATAATTTCTTACATTTTTTAATTACAATTCATGAAAGGATTAGATTGATTTTATAAAATTAAACTGCTTCAATTTTAAGAGACCAGCTGAACTTTCAATAACAATAAAATAAAATGAATAAACAAATAAAATAAAATGAATAAACAAATTGAACATCAAACATTCAATTATTCTAAATTATCAGACAATGAGATCGTTAAGTTATTATGAATTTAAAAATAAACTGTGAGCAAAATTTGTATAAAAACGTAATTCTTTACTTATAACAGAAGGTAAATTTGTGAGTCTGATTACTCTCCCTTAGTTGGACGACTCACTAAAGAATAAAGTAGTCTAAACAAATGTTGTGACTTCTTGCCCAGGAATCAAACAGACAACCTTAGGTAAAAGATGAGAATGTTGAACTATTTTGTAATTCTCATTTTCCTACATTAGATACTTTGACAGCCAAGGTAGATCTTTGCATTCTCTCAGCGCAAAGGCCACATCATCACTGCCAGGTAAAATTAAACTAGTCAAATCAAAGAAAGCAGCTTATATGTAGCTCTTAAATAAATAGATAAGAAATTTATGTCTAAAACATAGAACTATGACTCACATCACATGTAAAAGAAGGCAAAATAGTTTTCAGGTCAAAACTGCAGGATAATCCTGTCATTTGTTTGAGCAGAATCAGCTGAAGAAATTATGACCTTTGGAAACTAACCTGGGAAAATTAAGCTGCAATTTTTGCAACTTGTGCTTGGAGCCTGCTTCACATAAAATAATCCTGCATTCACCTAGCTTACAGCTGCAGAAAAAGAAAGGAATAAAAACATGTTAGCATGAATCACATACACTTAAGCCTGCCTGCAGTTCAATATTGTCTTCGGATATTAATGTCATTTCAAGTAGAATGAAGGCAGCAAGAAAATACAACAAAAGTCTTACCCCACTTGCAGCAGAGTATCATATCCAGGAAAAACTTCTGCGTTGCTGATACATAGGCATGAAACCCTCGTTGCCAACTGCATTGCAAAGTAAAACAACACTAAGTAAGGAGGCAATACAAATGGACCTTTTATTTCAATTTTCATGGTCATAGATTTGGGGAAGGCAATAGCATGGTAGAACATAGCATTGGTGAAAGAATAGAGCAAAAACTTAGAATCAGATTCATATAACTTTGTATGCTCTTTGATAAAAATTGGAGATATTGTAATCTTTTACAAACCTTTATCATATGAATTACCAAAGTGAAACTTTAATTTTGAATAGAGATTCTAAGTTCTGTCACAAAGGTTATCGGGCTAATCAATAACAATCAAATGAACTTTTAATAAATCATATTCGAATGAGAAAGTGAATATCGTAATATAAAACCTCCAAGGCCCCTACATTTCATTCATAACTTGTCAAAGATGCATGCGTTAAAAATACTAGAAATAATTTTGTTCAGATGAATACCTGTTGACTGAGATTTAAAGGTGAACTATACGAGTATGGTCAGAATGCAAACGAAAACAAAATCAGGAGCTTACCTTTTCAAAAGTGGTTTCCCCCATTCCTGTGTTATAAAGCTCGTGTACCATAGCTGTCAGGAAAATTTTGCTCAATCTGGAACAGCTTTTCATCATCTTCAAAAAGAAATAATGAGGTAAATGAAAGACCGGTATAAAATGTGAGCATTTTTGGCCAGATGAACAAATGTATAAAAGGTGATTTCGATTGTATTAATTATTTAAGCTCGTGCATTTTGGGAGAAAATATGATTATATATAAACAACAGCGCTAACATTGATTTCCTATTATGTCCTATAATGATTGGTCCCATGTATATGACAAATTAAAACAACATTCAAATTGTTCTATTGATAACTCTAACCCCGATCATATAAAACAGAACAAGTTATTCGTTCTTGTTATAATCTTCAATTGAAGAAATAGATCAATTTTGCTATTTGTAATGGTGTGTCCAAGTTACACTAGCAACAATGTATCAGATGTCACAGATAGAATGTACGTCCCAAGACTTCCGTTCACTATCCATGCCCTATGGCAGCATCTAACATTCACTAAAATAAAGGTACTTCAAGAAGCACTAAGAAATAAAGCAGTACATAGAAAAATTCAACTCACTTGAATATGAGGTGCTTGGAACATTTCTTGAATGGCTGCTTCAACATCTACCATTCCAACAAGCAGCTTTCCTAGAGAGCATATGCAAATGAATTAGTGGGCAGCAGCACTTCGACTGAACTCAAAGTAAGGAGTTCATGCATGCGGTTGATGATCATAGTTTAGATTAAAAAGTAATTCAGACATTTCATTATAGAAGACAAGATGGAACAAAGTCAGATTTGTAAATCAATATCATGGATGCAGACCTAGCAACACCACCAATATATTGAACTTATGTGGTTTTCATAATTTCATGATAATATCAAGCACCGATGTACATGCAAATTCTGAGCAGAGACCAAACGTTCAAAACTCTAATTGTTATGTTTATAATATAGGATGGAGGGCCTGTTATGTAAAGCATGGAGTAGACAAAGCGATTATACAGCCATGATCTAACTAACTAGCCATCAACAAATGCATTAGAAGGTCATCAACTATCAACGTAAGATTTATGATTTAAGTATATGCCTGGACCGAACCAAAAGCAAGCATTTAAGTATATCTCTAACTGTTAATATTTCTCCAACTGCAATTACCATTGCAATTATGCAAATACAATTAGAAGAAATTGACTTCAAATGAGATATTCCTTGAGATTGTAGACAATGCCCAAAAATAACACAGAAGAAAACATACCATTAAACACACGATACAAACTTCAATTAACAAAATTCAAAACACAGGAAACATTTCTACCGTGATGACAGTAATGATAGGAAAAAATTATATAAGGCGTGCTAAAATACCTGTAGTAACAAGATCAGGATTAGAAATTAACTTCTTCATTCTATAATCTGCAATTTCAGCTGCACGTCTGCATATCTCCAAAGCACGACGTGCATCTCCTGAGATAGCTGCAACCTGAATAATCAAACACCATCTTGGATGTTAACCAACAAACTATATCCAAAAAAACAAGTGTCCACTGTTTATGAAAGATCAGAGAAAATCAATCTTCAAAATGTCAGAGACTAACCTTTCTTGAAGCAAATTCTACAGCTTGCTTTTCAAATACATCAATTCCATTTAGGCGACTTGAGATGATTTCTTGAAGCTGGTGAAAATTATATGGGCCAAAGCAAAGCCTCTGAATTCCCATTCTGCTTGATATACGAGGAAGTAATTTCTCTGGAAGATCCATAGTATTTGCTATCCCTGAATTGATTACATTAGTATTGAAGAATAAATTTGTGCAATCCACAAAAGGCATGGAGTTGTTGTAATCATTTGGATTATTGTTTGCCCACTTTTCAAATTATTTCTGCAAACTAGAAAATAAAAATACTGAAAAAACAATTCAAAAGATCGTTGTCTTACCTATGACTATTAGTTTGGAATGTGGCTTAGTAGGCCAGTCAAGAATATTATACAGAACCTGTGAAAAAAGAAATGTCCAGCACAATGTCATTACATATTTTAAAGAATGTACCTAGTGACAAGTTTCCTGCAGTAGGATTTGTAGATTACCGATTGGTTTCTGGTTACTAGAAGATCGAGTTCATCAATAAGCAAAATACAAGGTCGATCAGCCTCATCTCTGATTTTCTTTCCTTCTACAAATCTCTCATTCAGCAAGTGGAGAGCCTTTTTCCAGCTGACCCTATGTCCATTGAGTGCCTCGTATATGACCTGAAAGAATATCAAAACTATAAGAAAATAACCAAGGAATATGTATGTTATACTATCTAGACAAAAAATTATGATATACTTCATGAACTTTACCCGATAAATATTTTCTGGTGATGCCAACTTCAAACCGTTAATCTCCACAAATGTGTATGGTTTGATGTTTCCAGCATCAACTTCTGCCTTCAAGCTCCTCATCACCGATAGTACACTCATTGTCTGTAGTTACACATGGATAAAAGGAATAAGCAAGAATTGTTTGGCGATAGCCAGGTTCCTATCTCATTGTATAGTACACTCAAGAAGAAATATAGAAGAGCAACCGAGGATACCTTGCCAGTTCCGGGAACTCCATGAATGTAGAGGCAACCTCCCAGACATTGATTGTCAGAAATAGCACCTTTGAGGAATGTAGTTATCTCCTCCATTTCTCTAAATAAAATCATTTTTTATTAATAACCTGACAGATAGATGTAAGATATTGAAATTCATCTTCAAACCTAAACATACTTGTTTCTACAAGGTAAAGATTTAGGTAGTGATGCCAACAACAGTGTAGCCTTTGCTCTCTCAAGATCGGTCTGTTTGTGAGACCTTACATGCTGTGGAATTCTTTTAGTGCCTATCTTCTGAAGTCCAAAGAACCGTCCCTTGTGAAGATTCTGTGTCACTCACACATTTGTTTTCTTTAGGAAATCACAAATACTAAAATGAAAAATACTGCAAAATGCACAATAATATCCATACTGCAGCTAGGTGGTGGCCTTTTGATGGCTGAGACAGTCCGTCTTTAGTGTTTTCTTCTTCATATCCAACATCTTCATCTGTATCAGAATCTGATTCCTTGTCAAGGCCCCAGTCTTCATCACTGTCGGTCTCTTCACCATTCTATCATACAAGAATAAACTCATCAATACTAGAACTGTTAAATGGTGAACTCTTTTCTTTAGGGAGAATGATCTTGATACTACTCTGACATGATTACCTCTCTTTCATTGTCAATATCAGCAAGACGTTTGAAACTGTGCCAATTGATGTCATACTCATATTCACATAAGAAAACATCATCTCCCTCATTGCTAGCGTTAGCATATTCTTTAGGGGTCATAACAAAGCAATGTCTAAGGACAGATTCCATCTGCGTAAATATGAGAGAACATGATAAAGTAAAGAAGGATAAGTTCCTACTACCTTTAACATTATGCCTGACCAAAGGCTACAGAAATTTTTAAAATAGCCATGAAAGAATACAAGAACGCGCTAGATTCAATTTATTAAATATTGAGCTCGATAGACAGGAAGAAACTAAAAAAACTTCATGTAAATTAACAATTTACTATCGGTATGCAACAGCTAAAACCTAGTACCTCAATGTCAGCAAACTCATTAGTTCGGTATAGCTCCCTTCTCAGGTTATGAGGCTGCCTCCCTACAGAAGTCTCTTCCGGGATTGTATACCAACGCACCCGACACCAATAGTTGCTGTCTACCTCTTTCCATATGCTACTCAAATGCCCAATTGACACAAACCTGATTAGTATTTAACAAAAGAAAATACAATCCAAGTGTATCTAATTCCACAACAAAAGACATTGCATACCTTTCAATATGAGCAGCCCACAAATCACTGGAAAGAAGTTTCTCCCTGTAAGTTCTAACCACTTTCTTACCCACCGGAGGTTTTGGAAGATGAACCTCCTTACCGACCCTCCGAGCGTCACAGAACCCACATATCCAATCCCCTTCAGGAACATCCTTCAATGGAGGCTTCAGACATTTCAAATGAAACCCATTCAAACAATCGTCACACTCAATCAGGACCTCATTGTTTGTCATGAAACACATCCTACACACCTCAACCTCGGGATCTTCATCATCGGAAGCAGCATCTTCTCTCCTCTTGACGTAAACGTCATCCCCCACTTCAAACTCCCCCCCATCAAAAATCACCTTTTTGTAATACTGGCGCCTAGCAGGCAACTTTGAACTCCTTTTTTCATTCTCAAATTTCCCCCTTTTAGCTCTGGTAACCACACCCTTCTTCTCACCCTCCCTCTTCCTCTTTGAGGTCTTCTCCGAAGAATCCGGCGTCACCGGAGCGAGAAAAGCTTCAATTGAGCTCTTCCTATACTTTTCCTTTGATGCACCGTTCATCTTAGCTGATTCTTTAGTGGCGACTTTGACTTCGCCAGAATCATGCCCGACATTATCGCTGATTCGTTTATTTCTCCGTTTGGGAGTTGTGAGGGAGATTTCACAAGGTGAATTGGGAGATTTGGGAGCATCGAAGAGGAGGGACCTGGCGCGTAGGGATCTGCGCAGATGTAGGGTTTGCGGAGTGCTTGGGATTACAGTCGGCGATGATTTAGCATCGGATTGAGATCGCAATTTGCATTTGGAAGGAGTTGCAGCCATTGAAGAGTAAAAGATTGAGAAAGAAAGAAGCTAGCTAGGGCTGAAAGGAGTGAGCAACAATGGTGGTGCTTGCAACTATCAAAATTGGCGCCAAATACTTTTCTGCTATTATTTATAGAATAAATCTGCTTTTACTTCTTACACCCCTGTGATTAATATCTGTACCTTAGTAAAAACAGTAGTAAAATATAAAGACCTTATAGGAAAAGCTAATGCATTCATTTTAGGTAAAAAAAATAATTTAAAAATAGATTTACAAAACCTATTTACTTAAATAAAATTGTATACACATAAAAAATCTTAGTTTATTTTAAAAATTCTCACCAAATTTAATTTAAATTATTCATATTACTTCATAATTCAATGTATTTTAATTTAAAGTCTCAAAATCATAAAAAAATAAAAAAATAGATTGCTATAAAAAATAGAAATAATTATAAATTTAATCATTGATATTATCTTTATACTTTATATAAGTATCAATAATTAAAAAATTACGATGTTAAGTTAATATAATCATAAAGAATTATAATTAATTATAAATTAAAATTTACATTAAGTAAATATTATGTACACTGATTTACAGAGAATAGAGGATAATTTATAGGCGAAAAACATAATTTTTTTTAATAAATTAGATTTTAAAAATGAAACTTTAAATGGTGATAATACTTTATTTTTAATCTTTTATTTGCTAAAATAAGATTTTAGCATTGTGAGTTAAACTTACTTAAATTTGACCTTAATCCACCATAAATTTTTCAATTCATATATTCAATGGATCAATAAAGTATGTTAATTTAGGAGGGGATTTAGAATTAATTTCTAAATCATACAATTTTAATTATATATATATATATATATATATATATATATATATTATTAAGATATGTCAAATATTCTATTAAGAGATATTAGACAATCAAATATTGTGTTAGTTATAATTTAGATATTATTATAATTTGTGCAGATTTGTGCACCTGTCATTCCTTTAATAGATAAAGAATTATAAGATTCTTGTGTGTGTGTGTATATATATATATATGTGTGTGTGTGTGTGGTACTCTACTCTTTGAAATAATATATCAGAATTATTCTTTAAACCTTTTAACATGGTATCCGAGCTATGGTTAAAGCCTATCCTAACGATATTTGTTGTTTGTTGGACGTATTGTTCCACCCGTTATCGGGCCGCTATTGGACCACTCATTAATGTTTAATATCACACTCAAGATGTATATACCTCGGCGTGAGGGAGGTGTGTTCGAAGTCTCACATCGAGTAAAGATAAGACTAATTTAAAGTATATAAGTGGGTGCATACCTCACCTTACAAGCTAGTTTTGTGGGGTTGAGTTAGACTTAAAGTCCACTTCTTAACATGGTATCAGAGCATCTTGCATCAAACTACATGTTCTTATTCACCACAGCAAAATGGAGTGGCTGAAAGGAAAGAAAGACATGTTTTATAAGTGACAAGATCACTTTTGATAGATGGTAATGTCCCATCTCATTTATGGGGTGAGACTGTGAGCTCTGCCGTTTATTTAATTAATCGAACTTCTTCTAGTGTGCTTAACTTTCGAAGGTCTTTTGATGTGTTGTCTGATCATTGTATCTTTCCTCCCATATTTTATTTAACACCTCATTTTTGGATGTGTTATATATGTTCACTTACACCCACATCAACGTACAAAGCTTAACGAACGATCAAATGTGTTTTTGTTGATTCTCCACTTTAGGGAGGCAATGAAAGTGAAGTGCATAATCATGATGTTAGTATGTTTGATATCTTAGATATAAAATTGTATTGTAAAGATAAATTATCATGTGAGGATCATTTTGAATGAAGTGAGCCAATCCTAAATATGGACACTTCTTTTTTGGATAATACAGTGTCTTCTGATCATAACCAATTGGCTCAATCTTCTCTACAGGTTCAACTTGACTCTTTAGAGGTACCTTCTGATCCTATCTCTGATAACACTAATTTAGATGAAAATGATCATGGAATTGATTCTTGTATGTGTGATACCACCAGCACACCAAACACTGAGTCTACTACTGTTCAATATATTCTAACCGTGGTCAACCTCCAACTAAATATGAAGCAGACCTCAAAGCCAAAGTTAAATATCTCATAAGTAAATATGTGTCATCTCACAGGTTATCTCAGTCATATGCATCATTTGTATCTCAATTATTTCCAATTTCTATTCCTAGTAATATACAGGAAGCTTTGGCATATCCTAGATGAACCAAAGCAATGGTTGAGGAGATGGCAGCTTTAGAAAAAAAACAACACTTGGGATCTTGTGTCCTTACCAAGAGGGAAGAAAATTGTGGGTTGCAAATAAGTCTTTACAATTAAGCATAAAGCTGATGGAACTATTGAGAAATATAAAGCAAGACTTGTGGCTAAAGGTTACACTCAGTCTTATGGTGTAGATTACCAAGAGACGTTCGCACCGGTAGCCAAGCTCAACACTGTGAGGATACTTTTGTCACTAGCTGCAAACCAAGATTGACCTCTTCTACAGTTTGATGTGAAAAATGCTTTCCTACACGGAGAAATTTCAGAAAAAATTTATATGGATTCTCCACCAAGCATGAAAGATTCAATTGAAATGAAGGTTTGCAAATTAAAGAAGGCTCTATATGGATTAAAACAATCCCCAAGAGCATGGTTTGGAAGGTTTACCAAGTCTATGAAGGCTTTTGGCTATAAAGCAAGTAACTCTGATCACACCTAGTTTTTAAGAGAGGAAAAAGAAAAATTATAGCTTTGATTATATATGTTGATGACATGATTGTTACAGGAAATGACTAAGATGAGATTTCTAGTTTACAACAATACCTTGCATCTAAATTTGAGATGAAACAACTTGGAAACCTCAAATATTTTTTGGGTATTGAAGTAACTAGATCAAAACATGGTATTTTCTATGCCAAAGAAAATATACTATTAACATACTATCCGAAACTAGGCTGCTTGGGAGTAAACCAGCTGATACACCAATTGAATAAAATCATAAACTCTTTCAATACTCAAATTCAACAAGCATAGACAAAGGAAGATACCAAAGGCTGGCAGCAAAATTAATTTATTTGTGTCATACACATCCATATATCACCTATGCAGTGAATATTGTTAGTTAATTTATCCATGAACCACGAAAGCTTCATATGGATGTTGTTGAGAGGATTTTGAGATATTTGAAGTTCGCTCCAGGAAAAAGGAATTTTGTTCTCAAATCATGGAAACTTAAAGGTAGAAGGGTACACTGATGCAGATTGGGTAGGTTCAAAAGATGATAAAATATCTATCTCTTGATACTTTACTTTTGGAACTATCACAGTTGAAACTCGCTCGATTCAATCTTGATCAAAAATTGGTCGAATTTGACTAAGTTGGTCCTAGTCGAATTTAGCTGGGACAACTATGACTGAAACTTAGTCGAGTTGGTCCCGATTGAAATTGATCGAATTTGACCGACTCGACACTGGTTGAAAATCAATGGAATTCATCTAAGATGATCACGAATGGTCGAGATAGTTTTGATCAAATTCGATTGAGTTAGTCACAATTGAAAACTAATTGAATTTGGTTGAGTCAGTCCCGATCAAAATTTGGTCTAATTGACAGTAGTAAAACTATAATGCAACTTTAAAGACTCTCAACTAAATTAAAAGTATCAAATGAATTATTTTTAAGTTAATACATTAACTTAACTACTACTTTAAAAGTTAATTTTTTAAAACTAAACTATAAAATAGTACACTTTAATTTTTATTGTAAACAATTCAATTTTTTTGGTTTAATATAATTAATCGAAAGTAGTTAACTTTGTCCACCATACTGTATGATGATTTATTTCATACATTTTATAAAGTTATAAAGTTTCATGTAAATATTTTTTTTTCTACTGTTTGATATTTTTAAATTATATTATTTATACCATAAGTAAAGTTGGGATTTAAAAAAAAAAGTAGGAAAAATTAACAAAATTGCAACAAAAAACTATTATGTAAATTAAATAAAGGGTTAAATATGTTTTTCGTCCCTTAAGTATCATTGATTTTTGGTTTTAGTCTTTATTCAAAACTTTGATGGCTTTTAGTCCTCATAGTATTGAAACATGTAATATTAATCCTTAAAAATGGACGGCGTCAACTTTTTGTTGATCTGGCAAACGGCGAGTCCACGTCTTCTGCCAGCTTTCGTCTTAAGTATCTGTCGCGTTGCTTGTTTAATTTGTGGAATGAGATTAAGTGATTGACACGTGTGTGGGTGATTGAAATCAGATTACGAAAGTTGGGTTCTTCTTCGTCATCTTAGTTCTGTTGCGTCAATCTCAGCGACCTCTTTTTCTTCCTCCGAAGAATTCATCGTTTTCTAGTGTCTATAGAAACACCTTCCTCTTCTTCTCGTTCAAGCTGATTAACAAAACACGAATTTTTCTCACACTAGAATTTTGCTGATTAACAAAGTACGAATTTTGGTGCATTTGGTTTTACTGACCTCACTCTGCCGCGACACACGATGCAACAAAAAGAAGCACCACTTACTTCTTCACTAGCTTCGACCAATGAACGTGCAAGGCGTTGCAGCTACTACTTCCAGGGCAGGCCGTTGCGGCTTCCACCAANGTGATTGAAATCAGATTACGAAAGTTGGGTTCTTCTTCGTCATCTTAGTTCTGTTGCGTCAATCTCAGCGACCTCTTTTTCTTCCTCCGAAGAATTCATCGTTTTCTAGTGTCTATAGAAACACCTTCCTCTTCTTCTCGTTCAAGCTGATTAACAAAACACGAATTTTTCTCACACTAGAATTTTGCTGATTAACAAAGTACGAATTTTGGTGCATTTGGTTTTACTGACCTCACTCTGCCGCGACACACGATGCAACAAAAAGAAGCACCACTTACTTCTTCACTAGCTTCGACCAATGAACGTGCAAGGCGTTGCAGCTACTACTTCCAGGGCAGGCCGTTGCGGCTTCCACCAAAGGAGGTGCAGGGCGTTGTAGGCTTCCGGCAACGGAAGGTGCGACAACTTCCGGCACGTGTGTGGGTGATTGAG